AAAATTCAAGCGTAGTGTATCACAAAACCAAGAACCCATTCGGAGCGAAAATATGTATGAATATTAGTTTTCAGCTGCTCTTATACATCATTCAAGTAACATCTCAGGAAGATCAATAGTTTAGTAGTTCGAATTTTGGTGACGTCATGTGAAAACCAGCCATAACTCGGGAAGGCTTGGCGCGTCGAGCAATGAGCCCATCACTTCTTCCGGTGTAGTGATGACGTCAGTTAACAATGAAGTCCGTACTTGTGATTGGTCACTGAGGTTCCTGCAGGGATCTGAATTCACGGTAAATTCAAACTAAAAATAGATCGGTCTGTGAAAACGCCGTGACAGGAATATGGGGTAGTTACATGCTCCTAGTGATGGGCTCCTGACCTGACTTATTTTTGTGGCTCATCAACTGATTTTATTTTATTTTCCCATGACAGGTTGGAATTTCGACAACACGTGCTTGTGTGCGTGACTTGTTTGCCCGTCAACCATTAGGAATGCATAGTAACTCATTCACGGCTAAAGTGAACCCCAGTGGAGTGGTGATGGTTAAGTTGACTCCAATTTGCGAAGACAAAGATTCTGATAAAAAAGACAACCATAAACGTTGCTGTTTGACGAGTTGTTGATTGAAGAGTGTACATTTTTCTACTGTATTTCTAATGAAGCGTCAATAAAGAAATTATAGAAACAAAGGGTCTCACATTTTTCGCATATTTGTAATCTAACCTTTCCAATTTTATACCATAGAATATCCCACGAGTCACTTGTATTTTCTCGGTCTACACCCAAGTATGTATACCAAGAAAATACAAGTGCCAAGAGGGATATACCACGTTATTAAAAACTGTATCATTGGATAATGCAATTCGAGAATTTTCGTTGGCTCAGCCATCACTGCGGACTCGGGGCCGGGGCCGGGGCCGGGGCCGGGGCCGGGGCCGGGGTCGTGGTCGGGGCCGGTGTCTCTTTCATAATTTTTTTTGTTTTTCTCTTTTTCTTAAACCAAACGATTTGATTTGTATCAGCAGTGGGGTTTCTTTCCTTAATAACAAAAATAATATATTCGTAATCGCGATTTCCGCTCTGATAGTAAGCGAGGACTCTTGTGCTGAAAGGCTGAAAGCTATATCTGCCAGATAAGGATTGTAAAGTTCTGTTTCCAAGAAATGAATAACTATGACAATCGCAATCTCTCGGACTTCTCAAGACCTATCTGCAAACTCGTTATCCCATGCAACAGTCCCCGGGCTACGGCCCCAGA